CGAACATAGCATGTATATTTAAATCCAAGATGGCGGACACGATTTTTCAAAAAAATGCATTATGGGTATCGTTTTCGAGGTATTTGGGGGTGCTCATTACGAATATACCACTTATTTGTAAATGCAAGATGGCAGGCACGATTTTTCCAATAATGGCAAGTTGGGTATCATTTTAGAGATAGTTGGGGGTGCTCATTACGAATATAGCACTTATTTGTAAAAGCAAGATGGCGGACACGATTTTTCAAAAAATGCGAAATGGGTATCATTTTCGAGGTATTTGGGTGTGCTCATTACGAATATAGCACTTATTTCTAAATCCAAGATGGCGGGCACGATTTTTCCAATAATGGCAAGTTGGGTATCGTTTTCGAGGTATTTGGGGGTGCTCATTACGAATATAGCACTTATTGGTAAATTCAATATGGCGGAAACGATTTAAAAAAATGCAATATGGGTATCCTTTTCGAGGTATTTGGGGAGGCTCATTACGAATATAATATAATAATAATAATAATAATATAATTATTTATTCAGAGAACAACATAATATGGTCCATTAGTGTTAGTATCTTACCAAAATCAACTTAAAAACTATGTTAGTGACAAAGAAAAAATAATAAAATAAAAATACATGTCAATTCTTTCACTCGCATCCCAACCAAATATACTAACATGAGACTACTTGATCAGGACCCGAATGAAAGACTTCATTACAGGCAAGTTATATCGGTCAGGTATGACCTTTAGAATGCTGTTGGCGCTGCCCCGTAGTCTGCTGAGCAGTGAGGCTGTTCTTTTACGGATGATGGCGTAGAAATCATCCACCCGCGCCTCTGCAAACATGGTAGATGCACTGCAGAAACGAGGCAGCCCCATCAACACTCTAAACCCATTATTGTACTGGACCCGTAGGGCACTGAGCGATCTTTTAGTATAATTGCCTCTGCCTAACTAAACAATATAAACAGCCTCTGTGGCCTAACGGTTACCATGCCGGACTGCCACGCAGAGGTCCCAGGTTCGATTCCCGGGCCGGGAGAAATATTTGTATGACCTACATTTGTTTCTCTCGTGAGTTTGGGTGTAATTCGTGGTTGTCTATATGTGTGTCCATGGCACCCGCGACACAGGGTTTCCCTAGTGCGGGGCTATGTTGAGTGTGTGTGTTATTATTATTATTATTATTATTAATTGAACCACAGGCTGCTCGTATAAAAAGATTGGCAGTAGGCTTTGAAGAGTGTAATTTTTACTTGCCTACTGCAACGAGCAAACCTACGTGCCAACATATTACTTCTGATCGCCAATGCCCTACGTTCCCTTTCAATGTCCTCATGGTCATTAAGGTCGTCGGTAATATAATGCCCAAGATATTTAAAACTATACACACGTGTCAGATTAACATCATTAAGTTTAATTAATGGTACTGATTCAGGACCTTTACCGGCGGCCTTAAAGACCATGTACACACTTTTTCTACAATTATACACCAACCCATATTTGCCAGCATACCTCTCACAGATGCTCAGCAGTCTCCTGAGAGCCCCCACCGAAGGGCACAGCAGCGCCATGTCGTCTGCGTAGCTGATGTTGTTTATAAAAACACTATCAACCGTGCAGCCAACATGCTCATTGCTGAGCTCCACGATCAGGTCGTTGATGTAAAGGTTGAAAAGCTTCGGAGAGCTCAGACCACTTTGTCTCACCCCGCACTCCAACCCGTAATCACCAGAAAAACTGCCTCCCCATCTCACATTGTTTACCTGATTGGCATACCAGTACTGGAAGAGACGCTGCACCTGCGCATGCACGCCTGTGCCTGCCATCTTTTCCCACAACTTATCATAAGACACAAGGTCAAATGCCTTTGAAAGGTCAAGGAAGCATGCATATAGTACTGCACAGTGTGCTTTAAACCCAGAATTGCAGTTTCAGTTGATAGGCCCTTTCTAAAACCGAACTGAGCGTCATGGATGTTTAAATGCTTGTCTAGTTCTGAGTCCAGCACACTATCCAGCACCTTAGCCACCACTGTAGCTAACGATATGGGCCTGTAATTACATTTGTCCGACAAGTCTCCAGTTTTGTTTTTCAAAATTGGCACAACAATAGTCCTCATCAAATCCTGAGGCAAGTGTGAGTGACTAAAACATAAATTAAAAAACATCGAGAGGACACGTGGCAGATGTACTCCTGCAAATTTTAAGTGCTCGATGCTGAGGCCATCGTGACCTGGTGACTTGCCTCTTTCCATTTTTCTGACTATTTCTGAAACTTGTTCAACTGAGACATGATATAGTTCACCGGCCAGGACGGGCTCAGCATCGATCACTGTACTTGATGATCCCAATGAAGAGCTCACCTTAAAATGCTCCTTAAACAAATCTGCAATCTGAGTACAATCACTGACACCCCCGACACTGACAGGCAGACCAGGCTTAACATTCAACTTATTTGTTGCTTTCCAAAAGGCACTGAAGTTATTACAAGAGCGGTGCTCAGTTATGATGTCCATTCGTATTTGCTCTTCATGCTTTTGACACCATTTTAATCTACTTTTAAATATTTTTCTAGATTGACACATTTCATTATATAATATACCAGATTTTGGTTTGTTATGCCAAACCCAATTTTGAAATTTAAGCCTGGCCTCCCCGTGTGCTTCACGTACATGACAATTCCATCCTATCACACGTGCTTTGTGAAATTTACTACTAGTGTTACATTCACTACTATAAATAGCTGCGTCACTCAATATTTTAATTATGTCCAAATAAAGTACATTTAATGTATTTTTATGTTCTTCATTTTTGCAAATATTATAATTACAATTTCCAAATTCAAATGGTATGTCAATTAATTTAAGTTTTTCATTACAGTACTTACTATATTTATGTATCTGCTCATTATTTCTATTACCCCATGTCACATTATTACATTTCATTCTATTTGTATCATAATTAACTTTACATATAATTTGTTTTAAATTGCATTCAACAATAAGTGGTAAGTGATCTGACCAGTATGTGTTGTATTTTACCTTGATACTTTTAAGTGTTTGCATGGCAGCACAACTCACCACACAGTGATCGATCCATGAAGTTGACCCAGTTGCATCACAAACAAATGCAAAGGTGTCTGTGTTTTTATCTATCATTTCTATGTCGGCACAAGTCCAATGTTGGTCAATACACATACTAGTCAGCTCCCTACCAAACAATTTACTAGGGTTGGCATTAAAGTCTTCCAAAAACGTATATTGCCTCAACCGAACTATTTTCTGCAATGGCACATACCTCACTAAAACACTGCGTGAATTCCGGTAAATTAGCCAGCGAATCATTTGGCATGTAGACACTAAATAACAGGAAAACACTGTCACCGACCTTTACCTTTATGGCACTTATACGAGGATTATTGCACTCAACCACTAATACCTCACTGAAAACCTGCCTACGCCACAAAATTGCCACTCCTCCGTACGGTCTCCCTCTCAGGATACCAGCCGAATATATATAGCACTTATTTCTAAATCCAAGATGGCGGGCACGATTTTTCAAATAATGGCAAGTTGAGTATCGTCTTCGAGGTATTTGGGGGTGCTCATTACGAATACTCCTATTGTTTTTATTTGAATTGTCGTGTCTGCCATCTTGGATTTAGAAATAAATGCCATTTTCTTAATGAGCACTCCGAAATACCTCTAAAATGGTACTCATATTATTTTAATTGACAAGTCATGTACGCCATCTATGATTAGAAATAAATACTATATTCGTAATGAGCACCCCCAAATACCTGGAAAACGATACCTAACTTGCTATTATTCGAAAAATCGTGCTCACCATCTTGGATTTAGAAATGGGCGCTGTATTCGTAATGAGCAATTCCAAATACCTAGAAAGCGATACACAACTTGCCATAATCCGAAAAATCGTGTCCGCCATCTTGCATTTAAAAATAAGTAATATATTCTTAATGAGCACCCCCAAATACCTCGAAAACGATTCCCAACTTGCCAATATTCAGAAAACCGAGCCAGTCATTTCAGATTTACAAATGAGTGCCATATTTGTAATGAGCACCCCCAAACACCTCGAAATTGATACCCATATTGCATTTATTTGAAAAGTCGTGTCCGCCATCTTGGATTTAGATATAAGTACTATATTCGTAATGAGCACCCCCAAATACCCCGAAAACGATACCCAGCTTGCCATTATTTAAGAAGTCGTGCCCGCCAATTTGGATTTAGAAATAAGTGCCTTATTGGTAATGAGCACCCACAAATACCTCGAAAATGATACCCAAATTGCTCTTATTTGAAAAATCATGTCCGCTATCTTCGATTTAACAACAAGTGCTATAATGGTAATGAGCACCCCCAAATACCACGAAAACGATACCCAAGTTGCCATTATTTGAAAAATCGTGCCCGCCATCTTCGATTAGGAAATGAGTGCCATATTCGCAAGGAGCTTCCCCAAATACCTCAAAAATGATACCCATATTGCATTTATTTGAAAAATCGTGTCCGCCATCTTCCATTGAGAAATAAGTGCTATATTCGTAATGAGCACTCCAGAATACTTTTTCCAACCACTGCCCAAAACACACCGTGACTACGTAAATTGGTTATCGTTTTCGAGGTATTTGGAGTTTTTCATTACGAATATGGCACTTATTTCTAAATCCAAGATAGCGCACATGACTTTACAAATAAATGCGATATTGGTATCATTTACGATGGACTTGGGGGTGCTCATTACGAATATAGCACTTATTTCTAAATCCAAGATGGCGGGCACGATATTCAAATAATGGCAATATTGGTATAATTTTCGAAGTATTTGGGGTGCTTATTACGAATACAGCACTTATTTCTAAATCCAAGATGGCGGGAACGATTTTTCATATAATGGCATGTTGGGTATCGTTTTCGAGGTAAATGGGGGTGCTGATTACGAATATAGCACTTATTTCTAAATCCAAAATGGCGGACATGACTTTTTTAATAAATACAAAATGGGTACTAGTATAGTATTGTATTATCTGTGATATGGGTATCATTTCGGAGGTATTTGGGGGTGCTCATTAGGAATCTGGCACTTATTTCTAAATCTAAGATGGCGGGCTCGATTTTTCAAATAATGGCAACTTGGTATCGTTTTCTTGGTATTTGGGGGTGCTCTTTACCAATATAGCACATGTTTCTACATCCAAGGAACATATTCCACTAAAGGTCATAAGCAATATCCTCGAAAGCATGCCTAGAAGAATATAAGCTGTGATTTTGGCAAGAGAAGACCACACTCATTATTAAATTGTTACCATTTTCCTTTACATAACTTAAAAAAACAAACATCTTTTAATTTTTATTTCACTTAACAAGTAGGTAGTATTCTACTGACCACTGGCACTAGAACGACATTTTTCTCGTTTATTTGATCGAAATTAATAGAAAAAATTTGCTCAAACCATTTTCTGCATTATTCATTTCTAAGATTCTGAGGACACTAGTTAAGTTAAATAAAATTTACTGCAGGTGACTGACAAATACCCTAATTTACTTAGGTGCCCGTTTTTTTGCAAACGAGTGTATATCACCGAATTGCAATATAATTTCACCTCCATTTTGTGTCGAGAAGCCGTTCACCAGAACTGTCTGGACTACGTGCTTGCCTGGGGTCTTTATCTTCATGCATTTTCACGACAAAGGAAATCCCTAACCATGTCATTTTTATTCTGTACTATTTGTGTTGTTTTGGTATCTGCTTATTAACGCTGGACATTTTGGAGCTCCAAAAAATAGTGCATATGTGCAGAGGACCGCTGTGACTTCTACGACGACGAGGAGCCGAATACGAGATATAACTATTTTACATTTTGCCTGACCACCCAAATTTAAAATCCACTATACAATCACTGAAATCACTGCTGTGTACCTGCTATTTAATATAAGTTACAACTTTCGATTTTCTCAACATGGGCGTTTAAACGAAAAGCGCATTAAAAGTTTGCTTATTAATTTATGCACACAAGCATGCTAAAAATTTTAAGTTGTAAGCGTTTCTCGTTCAATACTAGCAATTTCATTTTGCACAACGTGCTCATGTGTCAAGTCCCAATCTATATGGGAAAAATCGCCCTGATCTGACACCACTGCCAGTGACTCTCAAATCAGTTGACTATCTGTTTTACTTAAAAGTCTATGGGTTTAAAAGTTTTTAAACAAATCTGCGGTCTTCAAACACACAAACGTTTAGTGGATGTTAGTACTTTTATGATCACGCTCACAAAATACAACGTTTTAACTTTAACATTAAACGTTTTATTGAGCAGTTTTTTCTATCTCTGATTTCAGTGCTCTTTGTGCTCACCTCTAGTTTCTGGTTTCATTTTCGTTCATTCCTGAAAAAAAGAAAAAATACGATAAAAGATTTAATATTTTTAATTAAAATTAAGACAACATTATGGAAAAGTTAGAGATCTGAAAAGCAAATGGTATGAAAGCATTTTAAAAGAAATATCTAGCCGTGTTCGAAATTCATCGTCGTTTATTAGCAAACGAACTAGTGAGAAAAACATGAAAATACTATTTAAAAAACCCAAAGTTCTTTTTACAATTCTACAAGTGTGTATGTTCATACATACATTAAAAACAAACTTGGAAATATTTATTTAGGGTCCCGAAAACTAAATGGAAATATGGATCAAAGAACTTGTATCCAAGCCAAAAATCATAATAATAATGAATCATTCATTCTTTCGTTTTTATATCAAAGTACAACTAAAAATCAATTTTACTGTACACCAACAAAAATTTTGGTTACGGGGTTTGCTGCTTGTTACCAGGTGAGATAGAGGTGAGATGAATCTTTGCTACATGATGCTTTATAGTCATTAACTTTTGTTTGTGAATCTTATTCTGTGTCTCTTGGTTGCCGTGATGATTGGTGACGATTTATTATCTCGTCTAAATAGCCAATTGTGTTTTTGGCGCTGTGTATTGATTGATGTTTTAATCACCTCCAAATGCGATGTGCATCTCGCGGTGCAGCATAAGAGTTTATTGCATCTATAGTATTCCCAGTTATCTACGTTTACGTTTTCTGTCTGAACATCCTGGTACGTTATGAAATATTCTCTACTCAAGTTATATCAATAGTTTCCTTCAATGACTTTCCTCGCTAGCTTTGAGTTTGGTGTTCGAATTGAGTAGATTCTTTAAATTGTAGAACCATGTCGGCACGCCATTTTCGCAAAGTGTATGGGGGTAATGAGCTGCCACCTCCAGAGGGTGATTCTGATGAGGAATTTGTGCCGCATTACGCTAAACGTACTGGCTCAGCGTTTGCTGTCGAGGGGGTAAGTGACTTGGTTTTTTAAACTTTTTTATTGACTTACAAGTTGTGTTGCGGTAGAACTGTACAATAGTGGTGAGCATTTCAGAACGTAAACAGAATCTGAAACTAGCTATCGGTCAGTTGCGGCTTTTGGGTTTTAGTTCCGTCCAAGTAACTGGTTACTAACTGGACCTTAAATATGGGTCACTTTTCATATACAGACCTGAGAGTATATTTTGATTTGACAGTATTATAAAGCTTAGTAAAATTTAGTTCATATTGAAGTCAAGTCGCGTCAACTGCCCAGTACATGAGTATAAACGGAAGCAATGCATTCTTTGTTTCACTCGCATCTTGTTGTGTGGTTATTGTCTTTAAATTTAAGTGCAATTAGTCATGAATTAGTTATAAATAATATCATGTAAGTATATCAATCAATCTCATTGAATTGATGTTGACTGTTACATGTGTGAAGTTGTGTCTTATTATAAAATGATTATAAAATATAAAAAAGTTGTTTCTGAAACAAATAAAATTGTTTTTATAATTAAGTTCATAAGTGCGAGGGGTTTATAAACTGTAAATATTTCAAATTAGTGTGTAGTATGGATATATGTATATTGTAAATAATTTGTATTGAAATTTTACCAAAAATAATGGCGTCTCACGCCAATTGCAGTATGTTGTGAGTACTATTTTACCAAAGACAGTATAAATAAAAAAGGAAAATGTCTAATGTGCGGTGAGCTGTACAGCTACAAATCAAGCATGGGCAATTTAAAGGCATACCTACACAAAAAATACTTAGATATATGTATTAAGTAATAATTTACTAATGGCTTCCTAAGCCTGGATAAAATATGAAGGAAGTTCATTGTCAACTCTCTACCGCTAACTATGTTGAACATACTTTAAACTGTAGCAATAGCAAAAGCGTAACTCATTACACTGACTGCACATTTATTAAGTGACTCATTGAAATCAAATATGGCCGAAAAAGCAGCTACTGATAATAATTAGTTTCAGAAACCGTTATTGGTACTAGAAACCTGCTAAAGTTTCCATTCAGCTAAAACCTGCTATTTCTCACCTCTACTGTACAATACCGACAGTCGAATTTAGGGAGTTGGAGGGGGAAGAGGGAACAATAATTTTGTCAATAAGTACAATTTTCTTTAGGTTTTTATTGCAACAAATATTATTTGTCGAAAATAAAAGCATACCACATTAAATATAATTGTCTTAAATGTCAAATGTGCAATAAATTACTCATTGATTTAAGCTTTTTTAAACATTGCGATAAATTTCAGAAATAATGCAGAATAATTAAACATTTTGTCTTGTTTATCATGTGTGGCATTTTGTTCCTCCTTTTTTTTCCAAAAATGTTTATTTTGCATTATTTATAAAATTTTGGCTTGACAATCAAATGCCGTGCGTTCCGAACCTACAAAACCTGTTTTTTAACATTTGTTTTTAAAAATGTTTTTTTACAACATTGTTTACGTTATTTTTAAAATTTTGTCGCGACAACCTAACGCCGTGCATTCCAAACTTACAAAACCTGTTTCCTATCATGTATTTTCAACTATTTCAACAATTTTTATTATCAAAACTACAAGTTTCCGTAAGTTAACGTTTGAGGATTAGACTACTAACTATGTAGTCTATTCACCATATTAATTTTCAAATGTTCAAATGTTTGCCAGCTCTACTATACAAGTGATTGCAAAACACTTCCCTTTGGTGTTTGTGATAAAGTGGAGATTCTTAAACTAGTTCATAACTTATAACAAAATCAAAACTATGATGCTTTTTGTTTTATGTTATTTTAGTATATAGATTTCTGTATGTAGCCAGCCACATGTTTGCCTTTGTGTATGTTTAATTTGTTTTGTACATTATTTGTAGGTTATAGTAGGGTAGGGTAGGCTCAGTGACTTATAATAATATGCATATTTAGTAATAATAATAAAAGTTATAGCCCCAGCGAAAACATTTGCTTTGATTGACCTTAAATAGATTACTGTTTTGATAGTCATTATATTCCGATTGTGAATTTTGGAACTCATTGGCCTTATTTATTATTATTTGTTGTATTTATTGTATACATTAAAGGAAGACATTGCTAGAAATTCTGTTTATGATTTGAAGACATATAATGACGTCTTCTTCTCCTCTTGCTTGCATTGGCTAGGATGCATATTGTAAAACATAGCTAAATACAAATTAGAATGAAATTGACAAATATGTATATTAGTCTGTATATAACTTGCGAGTGTTTATATTTTGACATTAGATTCCACTCCTTGAGCCTCCTTGAGTTACTCATTGAGCTTTGCAACATGAGAAAACATATATTTGCATTGCGAGCTGAGCTAACCAAAATAAAGATAGTAAATGAATGCACAATATCTAAGAGAGCTTAATAGTTTCTTTGGATTTTTAGTTTGCAATCTCAGATGGAGAATCAGAGCAAGATCAATATGAACAAAAAGATGAATCATTAGATGAAGCTGCTGCTTACCCAGTTGAAGATTTAAACAAAAAGAAAAAGAAGAAAAAGTCAAAGAAGGCAGACACTCGAACTGGAAATAGTTTCAAAGATGCAGTTGAAGAGGCAAGTTTGGCTTCTCATCTCATGTTGAGGAATTTTATAGAAATCATTTTGTTTGATTAAAGAAGTATATAGGATTGAAAAAAAGAAAGTAATTTATGGGTTTGAAGTGTCCCGTTGATTATCATTGCACTGTATCTTCCATATAGTCTGAAGAGTATTCAAAAGTGAAAATTAGGGCAGAAGTTTTGAAGAGAGTATTGAACAAAATTGTACCAAATGGGCAAACAAATAGTACACATGGTTGAGTGCATTAGTTAAGACCTGTAGAGCCCTTCAATTAAAGGTTATTTGATAGAATATAAGATATTTATTACTTGCTACAATATACGAGTAATACTTCATGAAAAGCAAAATATGGTGCAGGGCCCAAATTATTATTTCCCCCATATTTAGTTTTCAAACCACTACTTATTTACTTACTTACGTATTTTTTAAATTGGGTTTGCTCCAGCACGAGGCTTTTTGGCGCTGGTTCGTATTCTGATGCACATCATACCAACTAATAAGGTCACATAATACATAATACAATAATGGTTACTCATAAGCGCGCATGCCACTAAATGAAAAATGAACTTGGAACATCAAACTGTTTTAAAATCCCTAGACTTAAATTAACTTTTGTATTTGAAACCCCATAAAGGGTTGCATTTATTTCGTATAACTTGTATTAGTAACAGTGTAGTTTGTATTTTAGATGGATGAAGTTGAAAAATGTGTCTTAGAGGTGAATGCAATGTTGGGTACTCCAGAGCCTGCTGCTGCACCAGAAGATGAGACATTGCCTCTTTCCGTAACTACTTTTTCAGTCCAGAAAAAATACTTGGACCCTGCCAAAGAAATAAAGCGTATGTTTGGACCTACCCCAGGAGAAAACCGCAGGTAATGTTTGCATTGGTCAATTGGTTAATAATAATTATTATTAGTTTGAAATGTTGAACTGATTACAATGAACTCTTCGTATTGCAGTTAGTAAATTCATCTAGTATAAATTAAAAGTATTTCCAAATACATTGAAAAATAGACTAATACAAAAAAAAAACTATTTCCCGATAATGTTACCAAAAATAAATAAATAAACAAGTGCACTCTAGAAAGGGATTTCAAGGCAACACGGCAAATTTTTTGTGGGAGTTTTTTTACTATGATTTTACATAAGGGCCAGATTAAGGGTTACGGGGACTATTGTAAATTGAGTACTTGTCGCGTGTTGTAGAACGTGTTTACTTAATTTAGTTGAGTCTTATGACGCAGACGCAGTGGGTGCTTTGGGAGACATTATGATTCTAAACTGTGCATTGTAGCATATCATTAATTCTATGAGGGGTGCATTTTTTGCTAAACAAATATCGGACCGGTAATCCCGGAATTTAGGAGGTGTTAATTACTCGCGATGTAATAAAATATCCGCATAATTAATCATCATTCACATGATGATTGATCAAAGGATGCTACTGATGGGGTATCATTTGCTGATCAACGATGGAGGTTAACGACCTATTAAAAGTACAAAGTTTTTTGCCCTGAATACCTCCCAGTAGTTGCCCTCAAACAGCTGTTGATTTTGTGATTTAGGGTTGACAACACAGTCTTTTCAAGGAAATCTGTCATTGAATAACTCAGAAACTATTACATTTAGAGCAAGAAAACTTTCTTCGTTATTTAAGACTTCACAGTTTTCGGCTTTGTCAGTCGTACCACCCTGTAAGATTTTATAATACAATACCATTTATTATTTTACAGACGCAGGCCCACTCCCGAAAAGCTGGTCTTATTGAAGAAGGCTGTCCTTGTGCATATGGAAGATATGCCTTTAAATTTTAAGAGACTCGGTGCGTAGTCATTAAAAAAAGTATTTTTTGTATTGATTGTGTGCTTACTGTCAAGTCTTTGAAAGACAAATTATAATAAATTCGGATAATGTATTTCAAAAATGTCAATCCAAAAGCAAACAAATACAGAATTGTTGATATTTCTTGGTTTCAGCAATTTCAATGTCGATACATCATCGTGACAACAATGTAACGTACTTTACATTCGACCACAGTCGTCAGTACCAGCGCATGCGTAAGGAATCCTTGCTCACCTTGGAACAGAGAATGCAGCAAGTGATTCTAACTGCTCAAGATGCTCAAAGAAACTTACATGTTGAGGAACTTATCGAGGTTAGATTACGTGTCAGACCATATGTATAAAATCCTGACGTATGTTAAGGTTGTGCTCTGTACATGAAGCCATATAAATTTTACTATATGGATCCTTTTGAAACTGCAAAAAATATTTTTTCCAAAATTTATGACCATTTACGTTTTAGTCTCAAAAGGATGCCCGCTATTTGATTACTACCTTAGTATACAAAGTGTCTCATTAAGACATTTTACTAGTGGACGATTTACGTTAAAAGCAAAACTGTAAGGATACACCTTAGAAAATGTCAAACTGAGTAACTTGTTTAGCCGGCTGATTGTTTCTGGGTGTTTCCTATAAATTATATGCATAGTGCACAGACGAGAAACGTCTGACGCATAGTGTCTTTTCTAGTATGATTACTTCTCTCATAGCGAAAATAATTGAAAAACTTATCAATAGTGATTGGTTTAGTTGATCTTGGTACTTGGTGTAACGGGCTGGTGTCCGCAACTCGACGTCAAGGCGCCTATTTTGCGTGTGGTGGGTGCAGGGTCCTACTCGTGCCACCCAAGCTTCTCCAGGAATCTCAGCAGCCTCCTCGGTTTGCTGAAGACTTCGGGGAGCGACCTTGGCACTCCAAGGTACTCCTGTAGTTGGCCACGCCGGAGCACTGTAGTAGGATGTGCGCAGCCGTTTCCTCCATCTCCATGCACGCTCTGCTTAGAGGGCTGTCTGTGATACCTAATTTGAAAAGGTGTTTATTGTATGGACCATGACCTGTTATGGCGGCAGTTAGAGTGCGAAGCTCTTGCCTTTTGAGTTTAATAAATATTCGAGATAGACTGGCATTGAGCGTAGGGAGTGCTTCACGCCTGTCTACAAACCGTAAGGGTAGTCCATGTGTTATTATGTGAAGATTTTGTACCTGTGTGTATAGTTGTTCTGGACCATTGGTAGGGGAGGAACATTTTGGGTTCTGGTTCTACAGCGTCCGTCTCCGACACTTTTCTGGCTAGTTCATCTGCTGCATCATTGCCACGTGAGCCGCTGTGTCCTTTAATCCACTGTACAGTTACATGGTTTTGTATACATACCTCCATAAGTGCTTGATGGCATTCATAAATGAGCCCTGAGTTTATGTCTGACATACTGTCGAAGAGTATTCGAATGAAGTGATTCTTAGCCAACTTGATGCCCATGCAGTCAGCCTGGAATACTGTGTTGTGATCACCAAGTGGTGTTGATATCTTGATATTGAGGTCTTCTGAGAATACCCCAGTACCTGTTCCTGAATTTGTTTTAGATACATCAGTGAAGACGCGGACCCCTCGGGGGTTCAGTCCTTGGTTGGGTTCTTCAAAGATTTGTATCTTGCATTTTTTTACAAAGATGTTGTTTTGGGATCCCATCCACAGCCGCCTCCAGCAGCGGTTCCTCATTGACAGTCTTAGAGGATTTCTGTGTGTAGGGTCCTCATGTGGTTCCAAAGGCCGGCTCTGTTTAGACGCACTGCTGTTGACGCCGCTTCCTGTCTGATGAACATTGGGAGGGGTCGCAGGTCCAGCATCGCTTCGAGGGCCACAGTTGGAGTTGTCCTCATGCAGCCGGTCGTCGCCATGCAAGCGAGTCTTTGGAATTTGTCCAGCTTGTCGGTTGCGGTCGTCAGTTTGGTTCGTGGCCACCATACTATCGCGCCGTAACTGATCATGGGTTTTATCACCGCTCTGTAGAGCCATAGTGTTATCTTGGGTGAAAGTTCCCATTGTTTACCCACCATTCTATGGCACTGCCAGAAGGTGATAGTAGCTTTTTTAATTTTGTTGTCCAGATGCTTGTTCCACTTCAACTTGTTGTCCAGTATTACCCCCAGGTACTTGACTTCGGTTGATAACTGTAGTTCTGCACTGAAGAGTTTGGGTAGTAGGTAGTTATCCAGTAGTCTTTTGTTTGTGAATATTACTGGTTCCGTGTTTGTTGGGTTTACCGATAGTTCGTATGCCCTGCACCATCTTTCCACAATCCGGAGTGCAGCTTGTGTAATGTCACTGGAAATACGACCCTAATGGGAAGGACTTGAGTATGATTTCTAGTGCTTTGAATCATACTCAAATCCTGACTTGAGCATTGAGTAGAGTTCTAGAATACGACCCTCAGAATTAGTAGAGGCGAAGCCTTCGCAAAGCCTTGAACGCCGCCGTAAAGTTGCCTGCTTATCGGTATTCTACAGGCTATATCATGGAGAGTGTGCGAGGTATAGCACGAATTAATTTCGCCTTTCCATCATCGGGGGACCAAGCGTAGGCTGGGGTTCCGCCTCTATGTTGTGAATATTGCTCATCTGTTTGTAAGAATTCGCACGAAGCGTTTCGCTTCTACATTTATATGGCGAATGGCTATGGAGTGGAATTTCCTGCCTACAGACTTGTTCCCTGAACGTTATAACTTGGACCTTTTCAAGGCTGGAGTGAATAAGCATTATTAAGGTGTGCATGTTTCATCGTCACTTTCCATCAGCTTAGATGGAAGTGAAATGTGCACTTATTTTTTTAATAAAAAAAATGCCGTTAGTCTTATAGTCTGTTCCAATCCATTTTCAACAAAAAGTAAACAAAACTGTTTGGTTAAAATTCTAAAGCAATCACTCAATAAATCGAATATGTAACACTTTTACGTGTATTTCGGAGATTTCGACTTGATATCTCATCACTTTTTCCAACAATATTTATTTGAGTAGCATCGTGAAATTGTATTTGAAAAATGGTAACCCAAAGGTGAGGTTAATTTTCATTTATACGTCCTTGACTTGTCTATGGTTGCATAGTGCTATACGAAAAAAAAACATTCGGTTCATTCAATTAAAGTTTTTCTCGGACGAGTGTCTAAGTGATAAGTATACACTATATTATAGTGATAAGGATTTGAAGAGGACTTAAAATTAATATTTCGGAAATTTTAAATGTGCTTATGTAGGTTATGTGGGGAAAACTTCATTTAATTACTTAATCGATTTGTATTTGGCATTACAATTGGCCATCACTAAACCGTCTATGGTCGGTTCAGTCAGTGACTTGTTTGTTTTGGATTCGCTCTGGACCTTTTGGAGCGAAAAGTGTCGTTTTTATTTTGACTATCAATTATTTTGTGAAATCTACTTTAAAGTGGAATAGGATAGTGCTATTGTGCCTTTATTCGAAGATTAAAACGCGAAATTATACGAATCTCGAACTAGAATACCCATATCAGCCCGTTTTAAGGAATTTTAATGGATTGACTCGGGAATCCAAGCACGCCGCCTCAAATTACCTACCCTCTTTGTGGCGGTCATATTTACAGAAACAACTTCATGTTTAGGCCGATGGCTTTGCCAAAGCCTTAATAAATTAAAAAAAAACTGGTTTGTTTATATTTTGAAAATGGATTGAAACGAACATTGACTTACAAATAAATGGACGACGGGTCTAACACAAAAACCACGAAAAAAATGTCCCAAGTCAACCTATTTAAACGTAGTGACATGCAAAGGAATATAAAAAGCTAAAACGTTGAATTTCAATTGTAATGTCATTGCAGTACTGCCTATTTTGCTTGCAACAATTGAAAGGCGCAAAAAAACACCATATTCAGCTTCTATTGGAAACTTACCAAAATGCACCATATGTAGCTTCTAGTGAAAACTACTTGAACATAGGTATAATGAAGTAGCATTTATTATTTATAAATAAATTTTATACGTAAATGATGAATTTTATACAAGCTAGGGTGTCTGACTTTTTTTTTCTTGATTTTCGAGAATTCTCGTACACGATTTCTCGAGTTATTCGAGAATTTTTTTAAAAACCGTATAAATTCAGCTCAATATAGTTGATAAAACTAAATGTGAATTTTTCGAAAGTTGTTTTGGCCTGGGTGTTCTGAGTTATGCCCCAGAATAAATTCCATCGTTCTTGGTCCCAGGTTCGATTCCCAGTAGAACCAATTTGGGAAATGAACTTTTGTAAATTGGTTCTGCTCTGGGATTCTGTTGCTCTGATACTCATGGAGAGTATGTACAGAGAGTTTCCTAGTTTCAAACCAGGTAATTGTCTTACAATAGAATACCAAGACCATAACCATTTAGAAACGTTAATTTGTTAAATTGATCCCACTGGTATCGAACCCGGGAATTTTTCATCCAGTGCCCACAGTGCAAACCGTTAGGCTATCAAGGTTTATTTACTATTTGTATTATTATGCAGTATTTTTGTTCACTCATTGATGTAATCACATACCAAAGCTATAATATTATGGTCTTTTATCAAGCTTGCATCAGCTCTGGTTTCCTTTCTTTTCTTACCATTTTCTTAACCCGTTCATGCATAGTACTGAAATTATACTGCGCTCAAAAATGTCACCACTTTTCCTATATGCCGTAGTGCTTACATTGATTCAATATAATTATTACGGTTTATCACTGACGACGGTTGCTTCCGTCAACATAGTTCTTGCAAATGTATATAGTGCATGAAAAAGTACGGCTATGACGGTAGTAGGGTATTTGCCGTTGTGAGATAAGTACAAAATTAAAATGCGCGATATTAATTTCGCAAGAGAAACGCTTTCCAAAATAAACAGTTAGGCACTAATTAATAATAATAATTATAATAACGCGCACACATTATCACGCACACATTGCCCCGCATTAGGGAAACTCTGTGTCGCGGGTGCCATGGGCACACATATAGACAACCACAAATTACACCCAAACTCACGAGAGAAATAAATGTAGGCCATACACATATTTCTCCCGAAAAATCTAAAAAAATACTTTCGGGATTATGGAAATTCATGCAAAAGTTATTTCGGGCAAATGTATTTTCGGTCTTCTGATTCGTAACCCCGAGCCGTAGAAAGAGTACAACAATATTTGAAAGTATTACTAACATGTATTAAAAATATTTTAGTAATAACATTAGCATCAAAGCGACTCTATGAAATTTTTGTTCTAAATATTTCAAACGCTTGTCTTTCAAACAATTGAAATTGACGTGTTGGGTCTCATTCAGTCTTTTACGCAAGCAATGGGTCGGAAAGAGACAGTTAGCTATTTGATTATTTTCATTGCTTTTGTAATTTATATTTACGATTAATTTAAATATAAATTGAATACTATATATACTAGTGCATAAAATAACACTTTTAAATGATAACTATGATAACGCAATGTAGTACTTAACTGAAAATATGATATACCACCCTGTTTTTTCACTTTAGTTGAGTAATTTTTACAAGGTTTTACTACACAATACGGCATTATTGACAAGCGCACTGTCAGTCGAACAAACGAAGCGTGATTGACGCCCTGTATACGATTTTAACGCCCTGTAAGTTCGGACACTTTAGCGCGGACCCGACGTCCATTTATTTGTAAGTCAATGGAAACGAAGTATAAATGTAAACAGGACACGCTGTGGGTTAAATGGACTGAAGAGTGATAATTTCAATTTAGGCGAAACCTTACTCCTTAATAACGTACATGAAAATTGCAGAACGCGGATTGTCTTTTCATGTTGGAGGATTACAACGCGGCAAACACTCTCGTTGAGCAAGCTGTAGCTTGCTTCCAGTATGTTGCTCATCCAAAGTTCAACCTTGCGAATGTAAGTACTTGTTATTTTTAATGAACGCATGATGCGAATGAAGCTTCATACTTGACATTGTCTTTTGATTTGGTCAATTATTACTTATTTGACAGTAATTGTGTCCGACGGATGTCGGTCGGAGAACGGGAGTAGACCCCCTGATTCGTATTCGTACAAACTACTTTTCAATATTGGGGAATATAAATGTCGACCTAATATTGTCAGATGTTACATTGATTCAGTTGAGGAAATGTTATGTGAATCTCTAGAGCCATAGAACAACAGTCATATTTAAAGTCCGCCTTCCACTGCGAGGCGGTAAGGACGGACTCCTTTCAAACAGTAATTTTCCTAGAAGGGCTTTCCACCCTCACGAGTGAGCGAAATGGACTCGGAGAATTAAGATGGGTCCGCTGTCTTTATGTCGTGTTGAACGGGCTCCACAAAGGCAATATATATTGACTTAATGTGCTCAGAAGGAAAACGATTTGCGATATTTTAAGACTACAAGTTTCTTACAATACATTAATCCCCATAATTTATTCAGAGATGAATTATAAATAAATTAGAGGGTTAATTAGGGTGTAGAAAACAGGATGAAATAAAATTTATAGCGTTTATGTTTTAAAACGAAGCTGATTTATTACTTTTCCACCTCCCTGCTTACACCGCTAAGCCAGCTCGCTATGGAAGGCAAACAACTTGCTCATCTGACCCAGCTCACTCCGCTTAGCCCGCTGGGCTATGGAAGGCAAATATCTATTTTCAGTGAAACTCTTTCCTAGTGGAAGAACAAAACTATTTTACTCCACTCCGCTCAGCTATTTCCCGCTCATGTCCTTATCGCAGTGGAGGCGGGCATTAAGGTCAGCGATGCCGTGTTATAACATTTTGAATTCATTAAAAACAACCTTGTTTTTTTAATAAATTAAACAAATATTTTCTTCTGCTTATCTGTGTTTTTATTTTCAGCCTGATACCCGTCTGGAATACAAATTCTTAGAAAATCGAGCATTCCACGTAGCATTACTAAAGTACTTATATCTGTTATCTAATAAAGCTTGCCATCGCACTGCATTGGAAATATGTAAAGTTATGCTCCAGTTGGACCCGCTTGACCCTTTGGCTGTCTTACTCATCATTGACACCCTGGCAATAAGAGCCAGGGAATACCAGTGGCTTATTGACGCTACAACAGTTTGGTCTGACGCCCGCCACGTTGAGTACATGTTCAATTTCAAGTATTCCAATGCCATGGCACATTTCCACTTGGCATACAAGAATAAGGGTAAGAACTTACTTGTTAATTATAAATGAAACAATAGTTAATTCAAATATCATTCGCTTTCCTCAGTCGCATCAGTCTTAATACATATTCATCTATCTTGGTTACTTGTCATTTTTTATTTAGAGGCATTCTGAACCTGATGCTATCCATGCTATATAATAAGTTCTGTTAATTTTCAAAGATTCTAAATAAGTGTAAATTATTTTTAGAGGATTTGTCTGTAGCGGATGGCCTTCTTAAGGATGCGCTGAGCGCTTTCCCGATGGTATTCGTGAAATTCGTCGAGTGCGGTGGCTCCTCCATTACCGATGCTGTTAAAAATCATGCCCTTTTCACTACCATAGCTGAAAAAACGTAAGTTATGGAGTAACGTGCTTATCAATGCTGTAACACGGGTACAGGTAGCAGTTATAAACAAAGTGATCACTTACTCCACATCTGTGCTCTTCACAATCAGTAAGGTTTTGCGAAGGCGAAAAGTTATCAGAACAACATTTTTTCCTCCCTGTCATCCGAAAACAATAATTTGGTCTAAGCCGTATTAATTTTTCGCCACATTGTTTTATTTAAACTGGACCAACAACATCTGTTTTATACCTCGTCGCCCTTCCGTCTTACTACTTCTAAAGCTACTTTACCAAACCCTATATATCACAAACCATGGTTTCGACGAATGTGGCCAGCCAAATGTCACTTGAATTGTGTCACTCGGTTTCCGATGTCAGTCACTTTTCGTTCTCTAAAACTCTTATTTGTCTTCTAGTGCAATAATAACTTGTGCCTTTTGTTTCATTGCGCTGACAACGTTTATTTTCCGAAAACTGTGAATAATATCAAAAATTTAGCTGTGGCGACTTCAGACCTATATTATTATGGTACCCACTTCTTCATTATTAATTTGTCCTCGTTTAACTCTGTATATGGGCAACGTTTGTTTTATGTCACTTCCATTGTAAAACGTTAATGCTAACGCTAATGCATTATTTTCCTCTTTTAAATTATGTAATCATTTTCTTCTGTCTACAGCAATCGAGTACCAAATGGTCCTTGGTTAAAATCACTAGCGGCACTAACTTTCTTTTTAACGTCGACATCTGTAAACCTACTACCTTTTTATTTATTCTATTTAAATATGTATATAATATACTATGATACGTTCTAGGACGGCACATAAAGTTAAAGATTTAATAACCGTGTACGCCAATCTCTGTTGGTCGTGGTGGCGCGAGCCGCCTGTGCTCGCCTGGCTCATCAGGAACGCCAAAGAACTTACTGCTGAATATGATCGCAACCCTGAGTTGCAGGTAAGTGTATGCTGAAAATGTGTGACGTTATTTTTTTGGCCCCAAGTATGAATTTATAATCCTACAAAAAGGTCACAACATAAGTTTTTAAGAAATGTTTTAACAGTTCTTAACATTCCGCAATGTAGCGAACTTGTAAGCTATGCTTTGTTTAGCTATTTTTAAATGGAAGCACTTCATATGATGTCCTTTTATTGATTGAAAGTATTTAATGTTGTAGGAAATGAATAAGCAATTATTTCTTCTTTCTCTTTCTTTACTGTTTAATAAATGCGAAATATCTTTTGGTTCAACAGGCTCACGTAAATGAAATGGGTACTGTCGGGCGCGCTTTATTCCAAACCTTGCCCGGAAAGGTGCTCCGACATCTGCAAGTTATCAAGCCCATGGCCAGCCTCCTTATGGATGGGGTATGTACTGACCTGACCTATGTTTACCGGGACACGTAATGTGATTGTGATTGCAGTAGTATCGTTTTAATATAACGTAAAATAAAAAAAAAACAAAAAACAAAACAAGTATAATGGACTTGATCATAATGACATTATTATTACCTAGGCCCTACGGCCTAATGAATGTATGTAACTTGGCTATTCCACACTTCTTGCTATAATTATTTCAGATTGCAAATAATTTAGCTAAAATCTTGAATTTCTAATAGACGTTGCCGCAATTACCAAGCATTGAGAACCCCACGAATCCAAGTCCATCGGTGAAGTGTGTCGATCGCTACGGCTACATCTCCCCGCCCTCCAGGGTCAATCCCGACAATTTACGCTCTCCTTTATATAACCTCTTCAGTTCGATGGCGCCAGGCTACAACTTTAACTTACGGTATGTACCTGTAGTGACATTAGCGAGAGCTTGGAACTGCATGAGTGATATTTGTGTTTCCAGTAGAATCTGTGGTTGTATTTGTAATTTTGTGTTTATGGTATGTATGCGAACAGCAAATCACTAAATATTCAATCCCGAACTCTCGCTAATGTAACTATACTAAATGTTACCAATTTCAAATAATACTTCATGTAACAACGTCTGAGTCGTTTGTTTTATACAAAATATCGCTTGGTTCCTCTTATGATTGATTGAAATTTAAAAGTTTGTTAGTTACGATGAATAAAATGCCTCGTTTAAAAACCAAAATGATTTGAAGTGATATGTCGTTGGATATTTTCGAGGTAATTAATCATTGCGAAAATGTTCTTCACAACTTTGACAACATTATGAATACTCGCAGAAATTTACGTGACGGGGAAACCCATACTTTGTGTATGAAGTTTCCATAAAAAAACCACTAGTGACTGTCTAAAGAGCTGAGTACCCGTAATAAGATAATACTTAAAAGCCTGAACAATACTGCTACAATACCAGAACTGCAAATGTTGATCAGTTCACAGTTTTACGACAAAACATCTTCTCAGGTAAGTCACGCGTAATAGTAGTATCAATCGTCATACAATTATAAAAACTCTCAAAATAGTATATTTTAGTAGTTCACATTGTAAATAAAAAAAAATTTCACTTTTTGCAGTTAGCGTCGGTCTGCCTCCCACATATCTCAAGCGACCGTTTCCAACATTGTGACGAAAACTTAATTTTCGAAGAGAGCTTAATTTACTGTGCGTGCCTCATTTACAATTTGGTTTACACAGTTAGCGTGGTAATGCCACACACAATGGAGACATTGTCGATGCTGTTAATATGTATGTAGATATGTGCCGTGATGTGAAAACCTGGTATTTGTTTTGGATGCAATTTTCGGAAAGCAAGCAAAAACATTGTGGTGTTCAATTTAGTTCGCTGATTTTGTTAGGCATTTGCCTTTTAGATTAATATAGCTTGTTTAAAATTACACCTCAGTCTAATGCTGCAGTACTATTTATATGTTTGTATATATTTAAACAAAATTATTTAAACAAGTGCTTTACAAGTCAATTAGGCTAAAGTAGTAATAGCAAAAAAAAATGTGTAAAAATGTACAACTGAGATTTTCACTCTATGGTGACAATATGTTTAAATGTAAATAAAACGCATTTAGAAATACTTAGCATTTTTATTTATCTATGAACTAACACTAATAAAGTCTATCAAAGCTACTTAAACTTACAAATATCAACAGCAATTCTAGTCTAGATTAGAGCAGACAACAAATAAGTAATGAGAACGGACACTCTCCGCCCCTCCCTAACTTTAGATACCGCACCACGCCCCGCACATTGACGGAACAAGAACAAGGCTGTTGGAGATCCGTTATCGATCTAAGGGTCGTATTCCAGAACTCTACTCAATGCTCAAGTCAGGATTTGAGCAGACTTGAGTATGATTTCAAGCACTGGAAATACGACCCTAATGGCAATGACTTGAGTATGATTTCGAGTGCTTTGAATCATACTCAAGTCCTAACTTGAGCATTGAGTAGAGTTCTAGAATACGACCCTTAGACGGCTTTAATGTTTGAATATAGTAATTTTTTTTTTTTTTTACGAAATTTTTACGTTAATATATAACAACATTTTACATTACTATTTATTTATTAGGTCGTGAACTGTGCTGTGTTCAAATACTTTGGTTACCTTATTTAAAGGTACCTGTCCAAAATATAACATTTTCAGTGCTTTTAATATATTTTTAAAATAAATCTTCAATATTATTCCAGTTAGTGAATTAATGTAAATAAATATTAGCAAATTTATTAGGAAACAAACAAGTGCTATTACAGTGTGAAAGAATTTTTCGATGACAAAAATTAAATGTTATCCATTAAATATATTACAAAATATACTATAGAAATTAAGTAAGTGATGGTAAGTGTATAGTTATTAGTTAGTGTGTTTAAGTTATTAAGGTTGTTTGATTGTTCTAGAGATTGGAAGAAGCCCTTTTTTTTCTATGCCGCATTTGGCTACGCCAAGAAATTGAGTAGTTACTCAAGACAACAGAAACAAGTTTGTTTTATATTGCTAACACCAACATAATTTTTTAAAACTTGCCCAATACATCTAAATTCTTCGTTTATTTTTTCCACTTTTATGTCAAACTCGATCCTTGCCTGTGGATCAATTGGTCTGTTAAATCCCACTTCATGGAAACGATCGTTTGCTACATTTTGGGTGTTACAATCATGCTGTATGTCAACCGTATCCTCTGTGTCGGTATTTTTTACAATTCTTGAGTGTGTTTTCATTAAGTTTCAGTATTAATTTGACTGAAATTTCTTTTGCTTGCTTCCATAACGCGAATAAAAGCAGATTTTTTTCTCGAACGCTATCCGACAGCGATATGGTGCTTTCTTTAAATCTAAGTAGAAAATGAAATGTGGTTGCTTTTGTGTCATACCGGCCGCCTTTGCACCGCTGTCCTGCCGCGAACCACGCGTGGGACTACCCCGGTACGCGTTCGCTTCCCGCATGTCCGCCCCCGTACGCCCTTTCCCGCTGTACCGCGTCTGTGTGGCCTGAGTTTAAGGTGTGTTCCTCAATAAGAGCTGTTTTCGCTGCATGAATGCACCGCGGAATTACTTGCTGGAACGGCACTATCACGTTGTTTATGTTTATATCAAATTATTTATTCCACTTATTGTAGTTATGTAAGTATAACAATTGAGTGGTTTGAATATAAGTTTAATTGTATTGTATGACAGCCTAGCGCTGAAATAAGTCCAGGACAGACATCATGACATGTGCTGTGTTCGTATTAGGTAAATATTTGTCCCTGTTGTTGTACTATTATTATATTTCCCTAGGTATGTTTGATTACAAACTTTATTTTATTGTATTATAGCAACACAAATACCTCTAGGTTTGGGCTTTTTAGCGATATTATTGTAATTTTGTATTTAATTTTTACCCTGTATGATGAATCGAGTTAAGTTAAATATCAGTAGAAAGATCTCGGTATGAGCTTTATTTTGTTGTAACGTCACAAACCGTATTAAGAGCTAATTATTGTTATCATATCAGGCCAAAAGTGTGCAAATTAAAATAGAAATGCCCAGTGATGAATTATTTCGTGCTATGAATTATTACGACTTGAAGCGGAATTTATTGTTTGAGAAACTTTATAAAAAAAGTCTCCTTTGCTGGCTATCGTTTCTTATTGGTTTCGTGAATTTATTGGGGTCGGCGTCTCCAGAGAGGAGTGTTAGAGATGTATCTAAGACCTGCGAGAGGCCCTATTGCAGACTAATAAAAATGGGGTGGTTATAAAATAATACAGGAATATCGACCACCCGAGAGAACACCGAGAGATTAGAATGAATTTAAGATTGGATAATAGGCAGTTTCAACTATTGCACATAACCATTTCAAAGTCACGAAGGTCTGTTTACCCCGACTGGTGCAAGTTTATTATACTAGGAATTGTAGATTAGTAAGGAGACATGAACTGGTTATCATAATTTACGAATTAAACTGCAATGGTTGCTTTGGATGTTCGATGAGAACAATTTACCCTCAAAAGTTAACCGCGGATCTTCACTTAAGCTAAGGCAAAGGTCTTCGTAAGTGTTGAAAATTTGGGGAAATAAAGGTTCCGATAAACGTATGAAATTGCTGTGAACTGAGGCTTACTATAATCCTAACTAAGCTGCGTTAAAGAGTTAGGTATCGAATAATAAACACACAATATACCGCCCTCATTAATCATATTTAGCAAACCATCATCGACACCATCGATAACTTTTTATGGAGATTTATCTACCAACTGTTTCGAAATTTTATAAGATTGCAGTTGATAACGGTTTCACGCATTTCGACTGCATGTCGAGACTTCAACTGCATGCAATTGACACTTCAACTTCAAGCGTCGATGTGAACGGTGGTCCGAAAATCAAAAGTAGTAATAACACATTCTTACGTGTGCATGTGAGTGCCTTCGAGTGCCTGTGAGTGCCTGTGAGTGCCTGCGAGTGCCTGCGAGTGCCTGCGAGTGCCCGCGATTGCCTGCGAGTGCCTGCGAGTGCCTGTGAGTGCCTGCGAGTGCCTGCGAGTGCCTGCGAGTGCTTGCTAGTGCCTGCGCTTACCTGTGAGTGTTTGCAAGTGCCTGTGATTGTATTTGGGATTGCTGTTGCGCCGTAGTGCGAAGACGGTTGCGCGAAAGCTATAATGCGCGACGTCTTATTTTCACGAATATTCAGCTGCGCGAAGGTTTAAAAGCGCGAAAGTTTATTTAGTTTATTTTCGCGCTTTTAAATCTTCGCGCAACAGACAATTGGTGAAAATAAGTCGTCGCACATTATAGCTTGACCGTCTTCGCACTATTGTCATTGGCGTAATGGACATTCGTAGTCACGTGGGAAACCCGCCTTTGAGTACCTGCGAGAGCCTGTGAGTGTCTGCGAGTGCGTGCGAGCGCCTGGGAGTGCCTGCGAGTGCGTGCGAGTGTCTGCGAGTGCCTGTGAGTGCCTGCGAGTGCCTGTGAGTGCCTGCGAGTGCCTGCATGCGAGAAAGTACCTCGCACATTTCTGGTGGAATCGCAGCCTAATGCTCAAAATCGAATCAGATTGTTACATTGCAGGCGAATGCTCGTCAGTCAGTGAGGCAATATTGTTATGTAATGCTCCTTATCGAATTTTGGATGTTACATTACAGGCGAATGCTCGTCGGTCAACGAGACCGTATAATCGAATCTCAGACGTTACATTAAAGGCGAAAGCTCGCGGTGAGGGAGCGCCCACCGTAGTATTTACAAAATTATATTTCACGAATAAGTTACTTGTAGCAAGTGATACTATTGTAGCAGGTAATTTTTACTCTTTTATTCTACAGCGCGGAAGTGGACGATTTCATTTTCGTATTACACCCAGAGTACGTGCCGGAACCTGGTGTTAATGACGATTACGATGATACAAGTCCATTTCCTATTGATCCTAATACCATAAGGAATCCAACATGTCGCTCGTTCGAGGCGGCCGTCGTCAACGCTGTCAGGAGAATGGTGCAGCGCAACCCAGAAGCATTTAATATTCCAGGCCAAAGTCAAGGCGATGCTAATGGACGGAGCACTGATGAAACCCACCAAAATAGAAGTGGTCATGCTTCACAGGATGATAATCCAGAAAGCGGAAACTAAATTTGTACTCTTTTTGAACTTAAATAACATATATTGTATTTGGGCGATACCCGTAAGATTGTAAGTATTAGTTGTTTCTTTTTTTTATTAAATGAAACATTGTAATGATTTCCGAGTGGAATATTATATAATGGAATATTATATATTACCTACGACATGCGTTGCGAGTTTTTTTATACGAATTCGTTTCGATGGCACGGAAGCGAATAAGATTTTTAATGTATACTGTTAACACTCTCAGCGACGCCACATGGGCCGCCGACCGCCCACAAAAATTCAACTGCAGCACACCACTGTGTATCTTCGAATGTTAACCAGCAAGCCATGTGAGCCGCCGGCGTTTAATAATTACGAATTCAAATTTATTTTCGATTTTTCTAGTCCTAATCAGTCAAAGGCTGCATCAGCAAGCCGACTAACACAGTCAATTTTTTGACTCTTGTGCTAATAACTGATGCAGATCACATATCTATCTCATCCCTAGTTGTGATATCAGTCTGTTTTTGGTGGGATCACGGCGTACCACGCGGCCTGCTGGTAAATCTTGGAGGTGTCCCGCGCGTCGCCCACATGGCCTGCTGCAAAAGTACTTAAGATCAGGCTTGGCGTGCTGTTCGAAAAATGCATGTTCTGCGCGCCGCCCACTTAGCCGGCTACTAAAGTTACTTAAGACCAGGTGTGGCGTGCTGTGAAAAAAAATGTGTCCCGCGCGCCGCCCATATGGGCTGTAACTGCAGAAAAATCGTTTGTTATATAGCGTTGAGAGTGTTAAAATGTTATAAAAGCTGTGTTATGTGTACAGGGTGTTATAAAAAAATGCGCGGATTTATTTATTGTCTCAGAAAATCTGTATTTATTCATTGATAGACAATGTTGTCCCCCTTCAAAGTCGACGCTTTTTCCAATTCTTGAAGCATTTCTCGCATGCAATTTTCAGTATGATGTTTAGCTCATTCTGTCTTTATGTCCTCAGTAATGCCAGAATGTTGTCTATTAACGGTTTTTTCTTTAACTTTTTTTAAAACTGTGAGGCTTAGTAAAGATGTAATTTTTGGCCAAAAATTTAAGAACAAGCCGTGAGATGTGAGCTGGCGCGGAAAGCATTTTGGGACGAATTTTGCTGCCATCCGTTTCATACCCAAAACACCCGTAAAAATTGTTTGGCGTGAGCCAAATGTTATTCCAATACATAAATATTTGCCCATAATCGTTTTCTTAATCTTTTTTGATGTTGTCACCGGTTGTTTATGTGAAGGGACATCCACGGCACCCTCTTTAAAACGTTTGAACTACTTATAACACATGTCTTATTCATTAAACATTCGCTAGATGCAACAAAAGTTGCTTTTAGCTGCATCATATAACACTTCTAACATGACGCAGAGCTTGATTCCAATCCCCATGCTAAGCTTTAGGCAAATTTTTCATTCCATTTTTTATTACAATCGTCGATCACTAAAGTAAGCTTTCAATATTCCTGTTGGCAAAGGTACATTAGGGACTTGTGCACCAATATACAAAAAAAATTGCGACAATTCGTCGCCTTACTTTCTTATACTTGTATTTTAAAGCAGCTGAAATGCTAAAATGGATTGTATATAAATTTAAAATAAATAGAAAGTTTTGCCATCTCCTGAACAATCATTCTTTTTTATAACATACGAGTTTGAGAAAGTAAGGCATCGAATTGTAATTATAATTATATACATCTCGGGAAATAAAATAATCCTCGTACTTTTTATCACACCTTAACCACGATGATGATTCAATGGTATGCTTAAACACACGTAAATTTTTTTGTACTACCTATAGGAAATTTATGAAAAATTCCATAATTTTTTATGCAATCTGCATACTTAAATTACTTCTTTATATTGGGTTTGTTTTAATGATTTTTTTGTATGGAATGCAGCTAAAAGTTGGGTAACGTGTAACTACGATGATGATTGGTAATGTCTATATACAATTTTTTCTAACTTATAGGAAATTTATGACAACTTAAGTTCTTGTCATTATTTGTTATACAATTTGTGTACTTTATTTTTTTATATTGGGTTGGTTTTAATGGATTTTGTGTGTGGAGTGCAGCTAAAAGTTGAGATAGTAATAAAATGTGCGCTGCTTCAGGATACGGGTGCTGGTTAAATTACTGGCACATAGAACTTGTCACCTTATGTCTTAGGGTGTCGGGACCAGTGGCAGTGCCCTTCATCTTTGAGATTTAAAGCTATTAAGTGGTACTAAAACTGTTATGGACAGGTTCGAGTATGAGGGTGGGTCGTCTGGTTATTTTAATGGGTTATAATATCAAGCTTAGGGTCGTGTTTATTGTAATTTGTGTGCGTTTTTGGTTCCAATTTGAATTTGATTGTAATTTCCGTTGTAATGCAAAAAAATATTTGATATTATTATTATTATTTAAAATTTTATTATTTTATATTAGTTATTAATATTTTTATTTGGAGTAATAAAATGGTCGAACCAGAAACTCCATTAAATATATTTGTAAGTTATTACGTTGGCAAAGCCAAAATAATGGTGATGTTTGTAACAAAGTCCAAATGCCGTGATCTCAAATTTAGAAATTGGTTATAAATTTTAAGACTTTTGTCTGTTTATTTTTTACCTATATAATCTTAGGGATACTCTCAGTATTATCATGATATAGTAATTAGTACCTAAGTACTTATATAATAAATGTATTACGTTATTCACTAGTAATAATGAAAATTTTAATTTTAGTCCTATTTGTTAATTATTCTTTTCGCTATATACATTTCATCTGCTGCAGCATTTTATTTATATGGGTTTTATTGGTAATTAAAATAATTTATTATTATTATTTATTTATTGGGTTTATTAACAATTTCAAATTAAATTGTAAATTACAATTATTTTAGTCTTAAGACACACAGGAAGCGAAGCGATGCGGCACTGGTGCCTATACATCTATTGTTACAAGCCTTTTCTTGTAAATACTCAAAAAGAAACAATTTCAAAATGAGCGGCACAGTCGTGAGTTTAACCTCTCGTATCAACCGTTTTTACTCTACGTGGGGCGTAAGTTTCCGGAATGAATAAGAAAAAAAAAATACTATAAATGGTCAGAAATTAATTTATTGATTCTCAAAATATTCCAACCAATTTTGAAAACATTTATGCCACTCCTCCGTGATAATCTCTGAAACATATTTTTCATACTCTTCGAAAATAGTGATGAAAATCATTGACTGCGTAACTGGTTCTTAATTTTTGGAAATAAATAATAGTCTCAAGGTGCCAGGTCGGGACTGTACGCGGAATGGCTCATAAGGTCAACGTTGTTCACCTTCAAAAATTCATTTGTCTGTCTGGCCGTGTCAGAACTCGCATTGTCATGGTGCAATATGATACAGCGTTTACGGTTACTTTTATAGAGTTTGTCAATAACTTCCGGCAAACAAATGGTCGTGTACCAATCGCTATTCACGGTACTAAGATTCTCCAAAGCAACAGTATCCACGTGTCCAGTTTTATTAAAAAAAGAAGCAATCACCCGCTTAGAGCACTTTGCACGCGCGCCACTTTGGTTGGTTTCGGCTCATCACGAAAGACCCATGCGCTCGATTGCTGCTTTGTTTTGGGATCGTAACTATAAATCCATGTTTCGTCACCTGCTACTATGTCCCACACCAAATTTGACGCCCCTTCGTTGAATCTGGTAAGCATGGCATTGCGCCAAGTGACGCGATCCGTTTTTTGAGTTTCAGTCAAATTGTGTGGGATCCACCGAGATCACAGCTTTTTCACACACAAATGTTTGTGTAATATTGATTGTTTTTGACTCATGTCTATGCCTAAAGATCATGTCTATGCCCGAATCTCATGGTATGTCACATACCTGTCTGTTTTGATCATATGGCGCACGGCATCGATGTTTTTGTTCACAGCTGTGGACGGGCGACCATACGAAATTCGTCACTGAGATTCATACGACCGCGTTTGAATTCTGCAAACCAGCTATAAATAGTCGTCTTGAATGGTGCGTCATCGCCAAAAGCAGTTTGAAGCCGAGCAAAGCTCCGCTGAGCTGTTGAATTACACTTCAAGTGTTAGAAAATCATACTACGAAAATTTTCACGAGTTAAATCCACGGTGATATAGACAACCAATTTCTTGTAAAAATAGTGACAGTCAGATAAAACAAACTGTATTCTACAGCCAAAGAGTCTCATTTTTAAATGTTGTAATTACTTTTTAAATGTTGTTTATGTAAGTGGCCAGTTCCGGAAACTTATAGTGCGCCCTATGTATAGGTAGTTTGTGCGAAGCGCTCCGCAACGCCTCGCCTTGCAATGTGTTTCAGATGAATGTGTCAATAGTTCTGTAAAGGTACGACTTGACTTTTGTCTTTACTTTGTAAGTTTTATAATGCTGTTGCATACCATTAACTATTATAGGTGTATGTATGTATGGAATTTTTCAATAAAATTTATAAAATTCCACGTTTTGCGTTTTAATTATTAACTCGTGAAAGGGTCAAATTGCGTATAGCGTATTACTGACAATGTCTTAAAATTTCTATTAGGCAATGATCTACTATTCTCAAATAATATAATTATTGGACACCAGGCGACGAAAACAGAGAGTCGGATTATTGAGGCTACGAAGAACTAAGGAAAGGAGACTTATGCGTATTTTTCTTAGCTGCTTAATCAGCGCAAGCGTCTTTGGCGTTCTGAAATTTGGCCCTGTACATTCGTTTTTTGTCCTGACGGAGAACGAGAGGAGGCCCCATATACCTGAGTGAACGGAATACTTACCGTATAGGTACTACAACTAGAAATTTGGTTTCACTCTTGAATTAGCTTCGACAGCATTATTATGTTTCCACCTCAGCCACGGTGGTCACATGATAAGTAATATATAAGAGCTGGGATCTTAGGCATTATTATAGTTAGACATTTGAATTTGCACTCTTTATTGGTTATGATGATATTTGTAATCACATCAATGTAATGAAGCCCAACCCAGGCAGACCTGAATCATATGATCAGATTAGGT